ACACAGGTGCCCCAGACAGGGAAGGGCACTGCCAGGAGGACAGCCAGCATGAGCAAGCACAGAAGTGGAGAGTACAAGGCATTCTTGATGCCTGCTGCAGCATGGGCAGGGAGCAGCCCTTAGCAAATACCAAGCCAGAGATAGCCGTGCTAGAATGAAGGGCCCGTGGAGAGCGAATGCAAGAGAGGGAAGCGTCTGGGAGGCAGACAGTGGTTGAAGGAGCGCAGTTATTTAAAGCCAAGGTGAAGAGGTCAGAGCCACAAGAGAGCCTGAAGGGTGAGGGGAACATGTGATCAGGCAGTGTTCTAGGAGGACTGTTCTGGAACAGGATGGTGGGGGTGCTGTCCATATGGCAGAGATGGCTCGGCAGCAGCACAAGGTGGGACACGTAAAACGCACCTTAGGAATGGTCCCAGACTAAGTCAGCTGGCACAGTGTAGCAAGAGAGACGCCGCAGGCAGGCACAGGCTGGAGTGGGGAGGGGTCTGGTGAGGTCAGCAGGGCCAGCTGGTACCATGGCAGCCAGTACCCACGACGGAGCCTGCACACACACTCAGGGAAGGAGAAAGGTAGGCCAGCTCCTGCCACTATAGTTGTCAGTGGCCAGCAGAGGCCCCTGGCATCAGCAGCCGCCGAGCCCACTGATGCTTCTACATACTGCACACGTCAGCTCAACGTCTCCTCTACCACACCGCCAGACTGCCACCCAGCTTCCCACTGCCTGGCCCTGGGACAGCTCAGTGCTCTGGATGCCACCACGCCCCCCCGGCCAGCTGGGTTTCCTCTAACTGCTGCCAGGCCCTACCCCAACCCCAGTGGCCTGGCCCATCTCGGCTTCTGCCAGGTGCAGATTGTGACACGCCCAAGAAGCACTGCCCTTGTCACCCTCCAGCAGATGAAACATCCAGAGGTGGCATAGTCTCCCAAACCACCCCATAATGTTAACCTTTGAACACAAATACAAAAGACAGACAGAGCTCTCACCAACCAGAAGGGCCCTGCCCCATCCCCAGAGCTCATCCACTTCCCAGGCTCACACTCTCCGCAACTCCCCGCTACCGACGTCCTCATCACTGGGGTGCGGACAAAACTCAGTCTGTTTCAGATGCTTTGGGGAGGGTCTGCCCCCGCGAGGGGATTTTCAGGCTGACATGTGTACACCTGAGACTCCTCTTTCCCACAAAGCCTGAACTGTACACTGTGAGACCCGGACCCGTGGCTCAGCCTCACACCCCCAGAGTACTCCATGGGGAAGCCTGGCTCAGAGACTCACTTTGATCCTGGCACTGGCCCTGTGGCCTTAGGTTCCAGTTCTGAAAAATGGGCTTCTATTTTTACGACTAAGCTTCTACCATGTCAGCTAATCTATGCAAAGCTCTGCACAGACCATGCCATAGCAATGGCCAAAGCCTACTCCAAACAGCTTGCCTGGCCAAGAAGATCTCTCTGAACTCTCTTCCCCAATGTCCCATTCACCCAAGGCTACCACATAAAATGGCAGACCCGCCTCTGATGAAGCAGCAGCAGCGACAGGAGCGTACGGCCAGCACGTAGATCTGTGATCGTGAGCTGGCCAAGCAGTCCCAGTACTGTGGGCCCCCAGTGAGCCATGGGTAGGGCCGCAAAAGCCAGACTCACGTGAATGCCTGACTTGGATGCTAACAGAGCTGGACCTTCACTGCCCAGGCGAACCAATCGAAAAAGCAGAACTAGATAAAGAGCAGAAGATACGGCAAGGGCACTAGCTGGAGATCCATCTTGGTGCAAAGAAATGAGATTACGGAGTTGGGAGCGTGTGCTAAACTGGAGCCATTCGAAGCACATCCTCTAAAAAGCTTGCTCGAGGAAAAGAGCCTGCCTTTCTTCTGATGAGCAAGAGCGCTGCCCAGTCACTCCTACATTGAAAATGATTCTTAACAATTCAGTCCTCACATAAATGAGCATGGGTCAAACTGGGGAAACCAGAACAAGACCAGTGGATTGTCCCAATGTCAATACCCTGGTTGTGGTATCGAACTATAGTTTTGCAAAATGCTGCCACTGGTGGTAACTGGACAAAAGGTCCATGGGACCTCTTTGTACATTTATTGCAACTGCATGTGAATCTACATTTCTCTCAAAAAAAAATTCATTTAAAAAAATTCAATCTTCCTATATACTGTGGCATTTCACAACTGAACAACTATCCAACTCCCAATGTGACACCAAAATAAAACCAAACCCCCTGCAAATTAGACCAGTGAATACCATAGCTGAAGCAGGTACCTGTCCCTGTGCCGGCCCTTTCAAGGCAATAAAATATTACCCAGTAAAGAAACTCTTTTTCAAGAGTGAGTTGCAAAAGCCCACAAGTTCATAGGCAGAATTTATAACCCAGATGATAACAATTGTCAGAAGCCGACACGTGAGTCGTATTTTAACTGTGGCATCCTGTGCATCGGGGAGGGCTGAGCAAAATGGCTTTCTTTCCAGAATGGTCACCAGGGGAGTAGATGTGAAAATGTGCCTCTGTCCTTGCTTCTCAGCAAGGCTCGTGCCAAGCTCACCTCTGTGGAGTCAGCACACCCTCCTAATGGCAGCACATGCTCAGACCCGCTCCCATAGTCGCTGATCACTAGCTGTTCAACAACAACATAATTGTGGTGTGTTTTTGGGACTTCACTGCTTGCATCCACTAAGTGCCTCAGTGACTGATGGCCACTCCACACGGGAGGGCAGATGGGAGGTAACAAGACTCACGGCTCTTCTGGAACATGAACGGTGAGGCTCGGGTGCTGTACACACCCTGTGCTCGTGCTTCCCACAAGCCCTTCACACAGTGTGGCCCTTAACTCCCCAGTCTGATTTAAGAGCCTAAGGAGGAAATGAGGGCCTCCAAGTGTCTCTCACCATCACAGTCATGAAGCAGAAGCAAACACATGCTAACCTTCAGGTATTTTTCTGTTTTATCTGCAGTTCTACTGACACCCGTTGGGAAGTCACAAAGTGACGGATCTATCTCATGCCCCAGGAACATTCTGTTTAAATATCCAGAACCCCAGGTAAGACAGACTTATGTAAGCTATCTCTAAAGTAGGTCTGTGATCGGGGGAAATCTAGGTCAATTAGCGTAACATAATCCATACAGACAACGTTCTACATCCTACTTTGCTGAGTAGCAACTGGGGTCTTAAAAGGTTGCAAGCAGTATCTAAGATACACCTACTGGTCTCTTCCCGTCTGGAGCAAAGAAGAGTGAAGAAAATCAAAGGCTCAAGGAAACGATCAATCCAAAGGACTAATGGACCACACGAACCACAGTCTCCACTAGCCTGAAACCAGAAAAACTAGATGGTGCCCGGCTACCACTACCGGCCACTCTGATTGGTATCACAATAGAAGGTCCTGGACAGAGTGGGAAAAAATGTAGAAAATTCAAATTCATTAAAAAAAAAAGACCAGACTTACTAGTCTGATAGAGACTGGTAGAACCCCCAAAACTATGGCCCATAGACACCCTTCAAACCTGGAACTGAACCCACTCCCAGAGATCACTTTTCAGCCAAACAACAGATAGGCCTATAAAGTGAACAATAACCCCTGTGAGGAACGTGCTCCTCAGAACAATCAACCATACAAGACCAAAAGGGCAATATCTGCCCAAAAACAAAGCTCAGAAAGCAGGAAGGGGCAGGAAAGATGGGCGAATGGAAATGGGGAACAAAAAGAGAAGTGAGTAGAGTGCTGTCACTTTGAGGGGATTGCAACTAATGTCACAAAACAAAATGTATACAAATTATTGAATAGGAAATTTATTTGATCTGTAAACTTTCACCCACACCACAATAAAATGTTCAAAAAAAAATAAGGTAGGTCTGTGTCAAGGTTCTTAACACCAGTATGGATGAAGGCAGCTATCATAGTGGGGCTCATAGCCCTTCCCTGACCAACAGGGCCAAGGCCCCAGAGACAGGTACCCATGGTCTCTTCACTCACCGCAACAGCAACGACGATGCTGTGGTCTCTGCACCTCTAACTCCTCCTCCATTTCAGGAGAACACAGACAAATTACAGAGGGCATTACAACTTCCTAAGAGCGGACTGTGGGGGATACGTTTAAGGCTTGTGGCCCGTGGCAGAAGCTAACCTGGGATTCCTGGTTTACTCCTGCCCCTGATTAATTTATCATTTGTCCTCTCTCATCGTCGCTCCTCTGGGATAAGGGAAAATAACCTAGCAACAACCACCATGGGCCCATCTAGGAAATCCAACAACTCAGATAAAAGCACCTGCATCCCAGCATGAACAGAAGGCATGTACCTCCAGCAGGCACATCACTGCCCAACACAAACACTCCACACTGGAGCTGAGCCACGACCACCTTTTCTTCAGGGTCTTGCATGTTTCCACTTGGAACCAAACATGCAGCACATCAGTGCTCTTGATCTCAGCCACCAAATTCTGCTCTTCTGCGAGCTGAGCACAGAGTCAGCCCACCCAAGGCACCAGGAGCCCCAGCATGAGGAAAGTGGGGAGGGGCAGTGTGATCTCTTCTCCTGGATTCCTCTAGAGGCGCCCAGGCCTGGTACTGAGGCCACCCACTGAGGCCTGGCGGAGAGCCTGCCCCCACAGTGGTTGCGTGGTCAGGCAGGGTGACCACTGTCCACCACCAGAGCATCCCTTTCTAGAACCTACACCGTAACAGAGCCCTCCACCTGCCACAAGAGTTTTCTAAAATAACCAATATCGTGGTGCAGTAAGAGTGGGATCGAGCAGCATAGTTTTCCTGGCCATGGTCATGAAGACCTGAACTGTGAACTTGAGGGATGTGAGAAGCTATTCAGGATTGGATTAAATGCAAGACTGGTGTCGCGCTCATGCCACGCCGGGCAGCCCTACTGCCTAGCAGAGGGACACCTTGAACCACGCCCGGCCCAAGCCCACACCTCAGTGCCCGATTCCTGTGAAGATTGATGGTAAGCTAACACAAACTCCCAGGTGGGGAGAGGCAAAGCCCTTACCCGTTTCTCCGTGAGCTGGCAGGAGGCCTGGGATGTCCTGCAAGCCAGAAACCAGCAGGTTCTCGGGGAGAAGGTGGAGCACGGGCTCCAGGGCCGGGTGTGGCCTCAAGGTGTACTGTAGGCTGCAGTTCTCAATGAGGGTCAGGTGCTTGTTCTCTAGGCAGAAGAACACATTACATAAGAGCTTAGACCAAAGGCACTTTCTGTCAACCCAGCTAACAAGCTGAGAATCTTAGAGAAACACCACAAACAGAAAACATGTTTTTCTAGAGACAGAGGGGAACTGCTCTTGTATTTCAGTCTAAAAGGGAAAAAAAAAAAAAACTGATCCTTAATAACTCTCTCCGGTAAAACTGCAATAAAAGAGATATTTGTTTTTAATCCAACATAACAATATCTCTCCCCTTCTCCTCTTCCCCGAGTGGCCAGGCCAGGGACAGGAGCAGGGACATGCCACTTCCTCGGGTACTGTACAATCTGATCTCCATCATCAGAGGGAGACTGAAAACCACCTGTACCCAGAGGCCGGCCTTCCTTCGAGCTGAAATGCCAAGTCCTTCTTCCTCCACTCTGCTGTGGCCAAGCTCATCTCTGCCCCAGGGCCTTTGCACTGGCTGTCCTCTGTGCCTAGAGCACTCCTCCCCCGGGTGTCTGCATGACTGGCTTGGCTTCCTCACAGGTAGGTTTCAACTGAAATGATTTCCTTCAGAAAACAGAATCACCTGCTAAGAGTACCACTCCCCCAGGTACTCTCTCCTGTTGGCCAGCTTTATTTTTTTCATAGCACTAATCATTAACTGAAACGCTCACTTCTTGTCTGCTGACATGTTTGCATGCACTGTCCCCAATATTAATCTGCCTCATTCGCTGTTGCGATCCTGCTGCCAGGCACACAGCAGCGTCTTAACAAATGCTTGGTGACTGTGAATGAATGAATGAATAAATGAATGCATCCTCCTGAGCAGCTGGCACTGCCCCTGTACTAGACTCCACTCCTGGTGTAGAACCTGCATTTCCTTTTTCTTCTCCAGTGAGGTCTGTGGGGCCGGCCTCTCCCCAGGGGTGGCCCGGGTACCTAGACCAAGCACAGGAGCAGGCTGCCTACTGGTCAGGGCAAAAAGGGTCCCCTGTTTGGGCTACTGCTTTCAAAATATGTCAGTCACTTTCTCACTAACAGGAATGCATTTCTCTGTGCTAGCTACCTCACACAAACAAGGCAAGGCTCCCTCGGGGAAAGTGGCAGGGACTGGAACCCAATGGTTCATTTGGGCACAGGGTTTGAGTGGGCACAGCATGTCCCTCCTGGCTGGTGCCCCTCCTGTGCTTAGAGGAGCAGGCCCCAAAGGCAGGAAGCCTCCTCCTCCTTTGTTCACAGGCAGCCTCTAAGCGCCGAGCCCCACGGAAGCCAAGGAGTCCAGGGGCGATTAGACAGAGCCAGGGAAGCCTTGCTGGACTGGGGATAACAATGGACTTCAGAGCCAAGGTCTCATTCTGGCAGCCAGGGCCTGCGACAGACAGCGACTACTCCACCCAGTGGGCAAGAGGGCCACCTCCCTCCCTCACATCCGGTGGCCCCGCAGGGCCTGGCCCCCCACGTTCCTCCTCACAGAGCAATGCCCTCCTTCCTGGTTACTGTGTCTCAGTTCTTCAAACTTGGTGAGAAATCCAAGCCCACGGTACGTTCTGCCCAAACCTACTAAATGAATGAGCTCAGCTGCCAGTGGTTTATGTTGCAAAAAATGACAAGAAGATCTCAAGGTGGGTGACACTCAGGGAAGTTGTGAGACCACCAGGTGCCGCTAAGGTGGCACACCCTGCCAGCCTCAGGCTCCCGGTCAGGCCAGGCCTGCTCTTACGTTCTATGGGGTCCTGGAGCAGCGGGTGCAAGAGGGCTCTGGGGGTGCCGTGATACAACCTCAACCTGGAAAACAAGACCCGTGAACACACATCAGCCATCTGCCTCTTGTGTTTGGTCACCCAACATCAGGGGAGCATGCAGGGTCCCCCAACCACCACCACACCCATGAGAGCTTTCCAAATGCTGTACAAGCACATCCCCTGCAAAAAACAAAGACTCCTCATGCACTCAGTGTTCCTGGCCAAGCGCCTCTAGCACACACACAGTGCTGTCCCAGTGCAGGCCTAGGACCTAGAGCTAGACAGCACCACCAAGAAAAACTTCCAATACCTGGAAATGTCCTAAGGAAGACAGTGTTTGAGGAATTTTCCATGGTTGTGTATCTAGACTCGTGGCTCTCAACCCAGGGTGGTTTTGCCCTCTCGGGGACATCTGGCACTCAACAGTGTCCTGAATCTTTACCAGAATGAACAAGAAAGGGAAAATTTTCCCAGGCTTGGGGCAGAGGGGCTGCTTAACACAATCAGATCAACTTAAAGGTCACTGACCCAGTTTTAGGATATCCAACCTTCTCAGTAGCTCAAAAGAGGTGATTTTGCCTCTCAGGGACATCTGGCAATGTCTGGAGACATCTGATTGTCAGGACAGGGGAGGGTGGTACTGGTATCTGCAGGAAGAGGCCACGGATGCTGCCCCTCACATAAAAGATTTCGCCAGCCCAAAACGTCAATATCAGGAGCTCTGGTGGCACAGTGGTTAAGCACTTGACTGCTAACAAAGAGGTTGGTGGTTCAAATCCACCAGCTGCTCCTTGGGGAAAGATATGGCAAACTGCTTCCATAAAGATTTACAGCATTAGAAACCCTATGGGGCAATTCTGCTCTATCCTATGGTCGCTATGAGTCGGAATCAACTCGATGGCAGTGGTTGTTTTAAAATGTCAATAGTACCAAGGATAAGAAACACTAATCTAGAACAATAATGTACAGTTTAGCCTTGGCTGAAATAATTACATGTATCTCATCCATCTTTGTATGCTCAGCTCCTAAACAGAGCCAGGCCAATGGCAGATGCTCAAACAATGCTTGTTGGGTGAACGCTTACCTGCTTAGAATGCCTGCTCATGAAAAAAATATTATTAAATAGGCAAGCAACCCTTAGGAGATAGGTATTTATCCCTAACTTACAGATAAGTGAATTCAGAGTCAAAGAGTTTAAATCTTGCCTAAAATCACACAGAGTCAGGACTTGACCCCATGTGCATCCTATGTCAAAACCCAATGCCCACACCCAAGAGCCAGTCCCCACTCTGGCACAAAGAGCAATTACTTGGCTTGCTAAGAAAAGGCAAACCCAGTTACAACCTAAAGCAGAAGCTATCTCACAGTATATTAACAACATAGGTTGGCAAATCTAGAGCTTTCTATCGTCACCAAATGATTAGCAGTTAGAAAGACGCTGGAAGACGCCATAGATAAAGAAAATGAAGCCAGTACCGTTTGTCCTGGGAGGCAGAGGTAGGAGACTCTGGCTTGTTGCTGAAGATTCGAAGAATTCCAAACCCACAGGACAACATTTGAAGGGTCCCATCCCGTTTCCGGCCTTCTGTGACCACTTCTACCACTGCCACGATGTTAGGATGGTTTAAGGACGTATGGAAATACAAGGGCTACAAAACAGAAATCACAGGACAGCTGAGACAGAGGCTCAATGACGGACTGCAGGGAAGAGGACACAGAAAAAAGACGGTGGTGCACCCCCGCCCTCACCCCAACTGCTGCCTTCCTGTGGATACCACAAACACCCAGGGCCCCCCCACCACATGGGATATCGCATCCCTTCCTAGGGGCCAGAGAAAAGGACAAGCACGGTGAGATACTCTCTCAGAGTCAAAGCTGGTGACGGAGCTTCCAAGGACCAAATATCCAGGACATCAGGCAACTTGCTTCTGCCCCAGGAATCTCATCCCCTGGGAATTCCACCACAAAGTGTCATGGGCAGAGCCTAGACCCTCTACAGAAGACAGCACTGGATGGCTATGCAGCCCAGACCCATCACCAGGCAGGACCACAGTTAAGGCAGCCCAGACACAAAATAAGCCCACTGCATATAAACATGTTTGCTCAGCCAGTTTATGTTCCAAGCATTACCTAGTGTTCAATACATAAAAGCTCAATTACAACTTGCCAATATTGACTCTAACCTCCTATTTTATGTGTAACTATTATGAAGTTCCAGCTGAACTAATTTTGTTTAAACTAAAAAGGATCCTTAGATTTTTTTCAGGTGCTATGTAATTATCCCCAGCTCAGAGCCCAACTAACACTTTTCTATGATGAAAATCAACTTGAGATCATTTTAGTATGAGAATTTTTGGAACCAAGACAAGTAAATGATATTCAAATTGATTGCAAAAGGTTTCTTAGCCCTGGGTGGTTAAAATGCTCAGCTGCTAACCCAAAGGCTGGAGGTTCAAGTCCACCCAGAGGTGCCTCGAAAGACTAGTCTGGCGATCTATGTCTGAAAATCAGCCATTGAGTGAGTCAGAGTCGACTTGATGGCAGCTGGTCTTTTGGGGTTAATGTGGAAATGGGAGCAGCTCTGACCCTGTGCTTTCCTGCCAGGCACTGGGCAGAGGGGCCACCTGGAAAGACAGCCCAGGTAAGCTGACTCTGTCTCCACATCTCTAATGTGCAAGCTCCTGCCTGGAATGCAACTACCTTCACTCTCTTTTCTATTCCATTGAATTAAACGCAATTGCTTTTATTTAAAACTGATAAACATTGTAGACAGAGAAGATGGACATGGTGCCGCTGATTGGGTTTGCATATCAACGGGGAGGAGGCGTCCACGAGAGCTCAGAGGCAGCGCTGCACTGTGGCTCCATGCTCAGGGCTCCTCATAACCTGGCGTCCATGCCGGGGGCAGGGCATGGCACAGACCCACCAGCTGAGCACGAAGAACTCCTTGCCACCCAGCCCAAAGCAGTGAGAGGTAAGGCAGGGGCCGAGACTGGTCTGCCTACAACATGATTTAAACTGAAATAATCCTCCTATTAACAAATCATTACCATGGTGTCACCAAGAAAACGTTTGCTGTAATCACAGACTGTCAGCCCAGGATAACAGAGAGACACATTAAAACATCAGCCGCCAGATATCAATCGTTATTCTATTATCTTTTATTGCAAAATGATGAAATAATGACCACTTACAGCTGACAGGTGGTTGGACTACGAGAGAATTATGCTTCTGTTTCCAAGACCTGAGAACTGCTTTAGAAAGGCCTGCTACAAAGCCGAGCTGGTATTATCTCACCTTTTGTATTTGTACCTGTGCACATTGGCTTTATGCACACCGCTCGCTTTATTTCTTGGCAGTGAATCAAAACACTTTAAGCTCTGATGTGACGCCCCAGTAATCCCCCAGCTAAGGGGTCACCTTGAAGTTGCTCTGCCCAGAGGCAGTGGGACCCGCTGCTCTCGGCAGTTCCCAGGTACAGATTTAAGGCTGCTGCCTCTCCCTGTCATTTACGACCAAAAACAATTATTTTGAGGCCAGAAAAAATACCCAAACCCAGAGCTCCAGAGTTGTCTGTCCCAGCTGGTCCACCTTTCAAAGAATCCATCTTTAAATTAAAGAGTCAACTGCTGGATGCAGAGCTCTTCGGAGTTCATATGGGTGTTATGTTATTACTAATCATGAAGAACATACGCTCTTTTCCAAAAATCATTTATTGATCCACCTGTGTGGGAACAGCACCTGCTAAGGAAATTGCAAGGAACCGAGAAAATATGATGCAGCCTTCAAAGGCTAAAGGGTAGATTAAAGCCAAACCAAACCAGTTGCTGTTGAGTCAACCCTGACTCATGACAGCCCCGTGTGTGTCAGAGTAGAACTGTGTTCTATGGGATTTTCAATGGCTGACTTTTCAAACGAAGATTGCAAGGCCTTTCTTCTGAGAAGGATAGATTAGGCAGATATAATAATGCCAATATTGCTCAGGAATGAACAGCTTTTCAGTACCGGGGAAGAAAAACACCGCTAATGATGAAAACACAAATAGGATTCCACAGCCCTGGTCGTGCTGGTGATCAACTTACAAAAACTCAGCCACTGAATATCCCATGGAGCACGGTTCCACAGTGCTGGAAGCACTCCCAGGGGAGCAAAGTCCCATCGGATCTGACCATCCAGAGCCTGGGAGTCCTCCTCCCACCTGAGCAGCCTGTGAATAGGCCCCAGTGAAGCCAGGGCTCCTGACAGCACTCACGAAGTAGGGCCTATAAACAAGTCCTTCAGTCTAAGGAGATTTAATTACGTCAACACAGGACTTCTGAGAGGAAAAGTCTATTCATCAACTGAAATTACATGATTAAAAGTTTAAATGAATCCCAGCAAATTGCCTGCGAGGGAAGGCCTGGGTGACTGAAGAGATGGGGTTTCATTCAACCACGTCACACCTCATTCATCTACTTGGACAAGCTCTACCAGACAGGGTAAACAGGTGAATAAATCATTTAAATGCTCCTGTCTGAATGCCTTCATCTCCAAAAAGCACTGACACCACTTTGCCTCGGGGCCCAGTTTCCATTTTTCACCCACAATGACAGAATCAAAATTGGGACTCTGATGATGAGCCTTTCTGGAAAAGCTACAGCCACATATATACAGCTCCGCTGCCACTCTCTCTGCCTACCGAGGTGATACACTTCATCAAGTCTCAAGGAGAGGACAATGCTGGGGTGGCAAGGCCAAAAAAGAGCAGAGCAGAAATCAAACTGGTACCTTCCAAAGAATGCTTTTAAAATAAACCTTTAATATGATACCTTCAGAAAGATCAATAATTCACAAATACATCGTAACAGCTTATATCTAGCAGCTCAACCTTACCCTTGAGGTTCAACATGGTTTCCTTTACCAAAAGCACAATACTCCCATCAGAAGACTGAACTTCCCCGAGCACAGTGAACCCTGCTGGGCAAAACATCCCTTGGGTAAACATAAAATCTCCAATTCCAAAACTGGAGGCTTCCACTCATCCTGGGTGGAGACCACTGTTACCCACAGCAAAACAACAAAGTGACAAGACAGTACCCCACAACAAAGAATTACCCAAAATGTCAACAGTGCTGAGTCTAAGGAAGGTTGAGAGTAATAATGTAAACTTTAAACCTCGACTGAAATAATTACATGATATCTCACCCATCTTTGTATGCCCAGCTCCTAAACAGAGCCTGGCATGTAGTAAATGCTCCACCAATGCTTTATGAGTGAATACCTACTGCTTACAGGTGGCCTGCTCGTGAAAAAAGATTAATGAATACTCAAGCAACCCTTGTGAGATGGGTTATTGTATCCCTGACATACAGATGAGTGAATTCAGGGCCAAAAATGTAAATAACTTGCCTAAAATCACACAGGAAATAAGTGATAGAGCCAGTACTTAAACCCACATCCATCTGACGTCAAAATCCAACACCCTCGCCCAAGAGCTAGTCCCCACTTCAACCTAAGGAGTAATCCTTTGGCTTACTTAGAAAAGGCAAACCCAGTTACAATCCAAAGCAAAAAATATCCCACAGTATATTCTAAAGAACACACAGCAACACAGGTTGACAAATTTAAGGCTTCTATTGTCCCCAGATGATCAGCAGTTAAATCACCACATAACTAAACCCCAATACTGAAAGCATCACAAAGAAATATTCCTTCTTCTGGAAACACCTTTCCATCATCCCCCATGTATGGTTTAGACACTCCTAGGGTGGTTCCCGCTGAGCAGAGGGAAAAGAAGCCTTCACAGAGGGACACAGTGGAGGACAGACAGGACACAGAGCCTGCCCCAGCGAGCTGGCCTCCCTCATCTACAGAGTGCTCCCTGAGGGTAGCTTCCCTCTTGGAAGTGAAGCTCATTGGCTGTATTCGCTGTGATTATTTCCTCTGTCAAGCAGCAAGGGGAGCACAGGATAGGCGGGCGGCAGGACCATCCTGCAAGGAGGTTAAGTGCACACCCAGGAACCGGGCTGCTAAATCAAGTTGTGTGGAAGGGTTTCCACAGGCTCCCTTTGGATCATACCAATCTTCCCTGACAGCACCCACTTTTACAGGGAAATAGCATCACTCACATACCCTGAGGAACAGAACCATCTGAGAGCCCATTTCTCATCACTGTGGTTACGGGACTCGGAAGCAGCCCAGGTACCCACGTCACAGGAAGGCAGGTGATTTCTCTGTTTCTTGAGCCACACCTGAGCCAAGGTGGAGCTCAGGGAGGAAATCGCTTCCTGCTCTGGGTTTAGGCTGTTGACAGCAGCCAGGATTTCTGCCCAGCAACTCTCATAAAATAAACGAGGTAAAATGAGCCCTGTCACCCAAAGTCTGAGACATGGTCAGTTAAGGAAGGAATTTAAGGGAGAATTATGTCCATCTCAAAATAAAAAGAAATTGCATGGTATTTTGGCCTCCAGGATTATTTTTTAAAAGACGCTTTTTTAGAGGTTGAATGAATTACTGACTGTCTCAGAGGAAGTGAAAGGCAATCTCTCTCCACAAAGGAAGGGCTCGAGCCTTTCCTTTGAGTTCAGAGGCTGAGGGACCTGAGACCCGGTCCGCGGCTCTATGGACAGAGCCCGAGAGCCTGAGACAAGATGGGAATACAAGCCCAGTGCAGACAAGTCATCATTTACAGAAAAGCCACCCAGCTCGGGCTCAGGGCAAGATTTTTTTTTTCAAAGTCGTTTTCAGGACATTGTTGCTTGCAAAGTAATGGAATAGCATCTTCTTCCGGGCTACGTATCACAGTGACAACTCAATAAAAACCCAAAGCACAAGGCTGATGCATTAATCCATGTTTAGGCTAGAAGCCACATTGATTCCAAATATGGTCCCTACTGCTGGAAGCTCACAGGGGCATCTTAGTGTGGCTGGGCCCACAAATCGGATCACCCCTGAGCTGCACAGATTGTAAAAACACGTGGCAATTAGTAAAACCGGAAACAGACTTCGCCAAATCTCAGGATCACCTCTAAAAGGAGCAAACTGGATTTCTCTCTATTTCCATATGCGTGGAGGCAGGGCTATTACTCAGCATGATGTGATCACATAGCCGCATAACCACGCCATGCTTGCTGTCTTAGTTTACTAGTGCTGCTGTAACAGAAATACTTCAAGTGGGTGGCTTTAAAGAATAGAAATTTTCTCACATTTCAAGAGGCTAGAAATTCAAATTCAGGTCACTGGCTCTAGGGGAAGGCTCTCTCTCTCCCGGCTCTAGGGGAAGATCCTTGTCTCCTTCAGCTTCTACAGCCCCAGCAATTCTTGGTTCCTTGACGATCTTCACATGGCATCTATCATCCCCCGTTTGTGCTTCTCATTTCTGTGCCTCATCTGCTTTTTATATCGCCAAAGTGACTGCATTTAAGACACACCTGACACTGATATACCCTCACTAACATAACAAAACTTATTCCCAAATGGGATTACATCCACAAGTATAAAAGAAAAAAAAACTAAACTAAACCAAACCCATTGCCATCGAGTAGATTCCAACTCATAGCGATCTTATATGTCAGATTTCAACTGCCCCCTAAGGTTTCCAAGGAGCGCCTAGTGGACTCAAACTGCCAATCTTTTGGTTAGTAGCCGAACTCTTAACTGCTACGCCACCGGGGTTTCCATCCACAAGTATAGGGGTTAGGATTTCAACACATATTTTGAGGGACATAATTCAATCCATAAACACTCGCCAATGTCCACCCAAGGGAATGCTCAACATTCCAATTACACGTGTGTACACAAACACACATGGTAAAGGGGAATTCGCTTCAGTTAACTAAAGTTGAATGAAACCTATTTTTCCATATTCTGAATGTCAAGGCAATGAGAGGAACTGGCCTGCGTGGCAGCTGCTGCAGAGCGCTAGTCGGCAAGGAGCTCACTCCTGGGGCACCGCTGGCCTCTGCTGGTCACCGCAGGCACAGCAGTGAGAGATAAGCAGGCTCCTGAGGTCTCTGGTGGCTTCCATATCCGCTCATACAACCAAAAACGCAGACTGCCCACGCTGACACTGCCGCATTCTCTACTTCAGTACCTCGAGGCTGAAGAGCCCAGATTTTTCCAGAAACGTTGAGCACTGTGCTCCTCACCAGCCCCAGCAGAAGACAAACCAACATGTCTGGCAAGGCTGAGCTGTGGAGGCACTTGCTCCAACAGCTGGTGCCCTGTGAGCCAGCAGCCTGGTCCCCCAGACTCTGAGTGAGTGAGCGAGCCTTAGTTCCCTAACTCAGATGTGAACTGTGAACTGGAGGCTGCTGGATACACAGCCACCAGGACACAGGGAAATGTGAGGCACTGCTCCATTTCTACAGCAACAGAAGTCCTCTTGGTGACGTGAATGTCCAGCCCTAGACCAGGTCAGAAGGAGAAATGACAATGCTGGAGGTTGTTTCTTAAAGGTGTAACTTCTGCAGGGATCATGATTCCATAGCTGTCTGCAGGGATCATGATTCCATAACTGAGAGGATTGGGGTGGAATGAAGGCCGTTGACGTCCGACCCAGGGCCCACAGCCTGACTGGCTCGTGGTTACCAGTGAATCACAGATGTGCTAACCATTCTCGACTCAAGTAAACTAAGCGGGAGGAGCTCATCCTGGAACGTCAGTGATTGCCAAGCATTCCTGAGCTCCTTTCAGAGCACAACCCCACCCCTCAGCAGTCTGGACAGAGCCCTGCAGAAACATGAGACCAAAGCACACTGTGGCTGAAGTGCAGGCTGCGGGATCAAGCTCACTAGATTCCCTGGCTAACGCCTCCACTTGCTTCTGACCCTGGTGGAATTAATCCATCTCCACACATCTCCGTTTTCTCAACTTTAAAATCGGGACATAGCAATAACTGCCTCCTAGGGGTCCCTGGGTGGCACGGACAGTTAAGCACTTGACTACTAGCAGAAAGGTAGGCAGTTTGAACCCAGCCAGAGGCCCCATGAAAGAAAGGCCTAGCAATATGCTTCTGAACGGTCAGCCTTGAAAACCCTGTGGAGCAGTTCTACTCTGCAAACATGGGGTCACCATGAGTCAGAGTCGACTCAACGGCAACTGGTTTGGTTTGTTTCTGTGTGTGTGTGTTTTTGGACTTTTATGGAGTATAACCAAAAACCAAACCCGTTGCTGTCAAGTCAATTCCAACTCATAGTGACTCTACAGGGCAAAGGTGAACTGCCCCATAGGGTTTCCAAGGAGCAGCTGGTGCATTTGAACTGCCAACTCTTTGGTTAGCAGCGGAGTTCTTAACCACTGCACCACCAGGGCTCCACCCTATGCATAGCAGGTAGGAAATAAGAGAAATGTGCTTCCGAATCAAGGTCTGGACCACAGCAACACCTCCAAATGATGGCTATTACCATCATCATCACCATCATTGGTCACTGTACAAACTGTCAGAGTACTGGGCTGCCTTGGGTCTTACTCTGTACACTCAAGAAAGGTCAAATCAAAACAGCCCTACCCCTAGAAAGCTGGCCCCAAGGCAGCTGAGGCTGAGCCCCAAGCCAGGCCATAAGCAACACCAACATCTACAGACACTTGTGATGACCCTCCGCTTGCCATGTCAGAGGCATGAGGCAATCCACTGTCTGTGCTGAAACTGCACTTCACCCATAGTTGCACACATGATTGACAACATGAAATCTCCTCTCTGACTCAGGCTGGACACAGAGACATTCACCAGCATTCGCACAAGCTGCTTGACAGTCTTATAACAGCAGACACGTTGTTAATGCCCACGACATATGCCTTGCCAAGGCTTTATGTCATTGTCCTGAGCTCCAGGGGCACCGTCTCCTTCAATCACCACGTCAAGTGAGGGCAGCATTCAAAACTAATCCACACCAGGTGACCCTAACTTAGGATATGGCCAAACACAGAAAGCAGCTTGCTCAAAGCTGGCCCGAGGTGGCCTCACCAGTGTGGCAAGAGCAGCCCCAGCAGGAAAGGGGTGCCTCAGGCTGCAGTCACCCCCACCACCACTCTGTCACTCGCCGGCATCAGATCACTGCAGGCCCACTGAACTGGGACGTGGCTCCTCTCAGACCTCACATCCTCAAGTTCAGCTGTGACTCAGCAGCCAGGCATGAAGACAGGCCTTGATGACATCCTCTGCTTACAGGAAAGTCACAGTGTCCCTAAGAAGGCCCTGCAGGATCCAGACAAGTTGGCACTGCCCACTCCTCACCAATCCAAGCTCACTCTCACGCATCATACCTGCTGCCAGCCTTGCACGTGCTAGCCTCTGCACCCTCCCCAGAGCACCTCGGCCCTGCTTGTCACAGGGCGAGTTTCTTTCTTATTCTTTAGGGCCCAGCTGGAACGTCAGCTTTGCAAGAAGCCCTCCTTATCACCCTTCCTAAAGCAGGTCCCCCATCCTTCTCTGGCACAGCAGCATACAGGTCTCCTGAGCACTTATCACAGCGCACAATCACTTCATTTTTTACCTGCTTTTGCGTGCTACCCCTAATAAACTGTAATTCGTATAAGGGTGTTATGCATTGAATGGTGTCTCCCAGAAGATACACTAAAGTTTTAACCCCTGTACCTGTGAACATGGCCTTATCTTGCCACCTTCCACCTGAAAAAGTTCTTTACTGCTAAGGGTCAATTTCCTCATGTTAACCAAAAGAAAGAAAAAAAGGAAGAAGAAGAAGAAAAGGTATGGGAGAATCAGATGAGATCAGTAGTTTTCAAACTGTTCAAGAACCCCAGGGTTCCTTGAAGGTGACTCAAAGACCACTCCAGACAGGGCAAGGCTGAGCAGGCAAGAGACCCCACTCCCTCCCCTGCTTCACCCAGAGCAGCGCCACTTCCACCTGTCCAGCATATTTGGCCCCCACATAAGATTTTGTTTGGAAAACCAAGTGCCTGGCTGCTAAAGCGAGTTCTAAGGACAACTGGGCCTGATGCTCCCTGGTGCACCTGCAGGTCTGAGATGCTCTGAGCCTCTGGGGTGAGGCGCCCACCCCTCTGAGGTGGGGTGCACCCTGCACCCCATCACAGAGCAGCCCCCACCCTGCCATCCCTGGGCCTACCTCATTGAAGATGATCCTAGGCGGGTGCCTCGAAAGCTGCTTGGCTGGCCTCACGGTGGTTTTCCACGTCTTCCCAAAGAAGTGTCGGTAGGTGATGTCAAAGAAGGACACCCGCAGATGCCAGTTGACTTCAGACAGCACTTCCTGCACACCCTGGGAGAAGGAAGGGAGTAGGCCCTGAAGAGTTCTCAAAGCCATGAGCCCTCTCATAGTTGCCAGGTGGAACATTCTGGGAGACGCCAGCCTCTGAGCATCTATCCTCATTGGTTTGGGTCTCAGCACCCCAACTGCCTTTTGAGGAACCCCCCTCCCACTCCCACTGCTCTTGGTAGGGTGATAAATCCAGTGTTCAGCCCTCCCCAGCCAATCAGATGCTGAATTCCCCAGGCCAATCAGACACAAGCCTAAGACTCACTTAGCACCAACTAGACACAGGGGCCTGGGCCATGAAATAGACATAATTGTCAGGGTGCAGGCTTGGTAACAGAGTAGCTGCCAGCCACTCTGTCACCATGTGGAGCCAAGAGATGCAGGGAAACAAGTCCAGGTGACATCGCTGAGACCCTAGATCAAGCTTACCTGAAGCCTGTCTACCTATGCTCACTCCTGTTACGTGAGTTAATAAATCAGCTCTCTCAAGGATGTAATCAGTCCACAGGACTAATGGTCCACACGAACCACAGCCTCCTCTAGCCTGAGACTAGAAGAACTAGATGGTGCCCAGCTACTGAGGCTTCGAACCTCTGCTGAGAATTTGCACTTCAAACAGTTCCCAGGAAGTTATACGTAAGAATCACCTGGAGATCTTGTTAAAATGTAGATTCTGATTCAGTATATCTGGGCTGGAAATGCAAATTCTCAGTAGGGAACTTGTTGGAAATGCAAACTCTCAGCAGCAGTTCGAACCAGACTGAACCAGTTCAAAGTCCAGGCAGCCAGGCACCATCTAGTTCTTCCTTGAGAGAGCTAATTTATTAACTCACATAACAGGACATCACGCTTGGGAAAGTAGAGTCAGCGAAAAAGAGGAAGATCCTCAATGAGAAAGGCTGCCACAGTGGCTGCAACAATGGGCTCAAACAGCAATGATTGTGAGGATGGACAGGGCAGTGTTGTACATACGGTCACTATGAGTCAGAATTGACTCAACAGCACCTAACGACAACTCTTAGACGGCCTCACTAACATAACAAAGAAAGTTATATTCCCAAATGGGTGTACATTCACCAGTAGGGGGGCTAGGATTTACAACACACATTTTGGGGAGACACCATTCAATCCATAACCGCAGTCAATGAAATATTCTTTATAATTTGAATACTTTTAAATTTATTGAGACTTAGTTTATGGCCCAGCACATGGTCTATCTTGGTAAATGTTTCATGTGCCCTTGGAAGATTGTATATTCTGCTTTTCTTGGGTATAGAGCTCTAAAGACGTCAATTATGTCAAGTTGGTTGACAGTGTTGTTCAAATCTTCCAAATACTTATGACTTAATCTGTTTTCTCTATTACTGAAAAAAGAGAATTAGAAGTCCCCAACTATGACAGTGAATTTGAGTATAGCTCCGTTTAGTTCTATCCAATTTTGCTTCATGTATTCGGGAGCAGACCTGACTGCTATGCTTTGAAAGCCCTGTTTACGAGGGTGGCCTTTGGCTAGTCTGAGAATGTGGATTTCAGGAGGGCTCCCACCGCCCTAACTGATACGAGCAGTTCACTGTGCCTAAACTATTTGTACAATGTGATTTATGCTGAACATCTGCTTTCCTCCTGGGAGTTTGAAATTTTAGAATGTGCTAGGCAGACGATGCCTACATGACCAGCTCCCAATAAAAACCCTGGGTGCTGAGTCTCTAATGCACTTCCCTAGATGGCAACATTCCACATGTGTTGTCACAACACACTGCTGAGGGAATTAAGCCCACCATATGTGATCCACTGGGAGAGAGCCGTTGGAAGCTTGCGTCTGGTTTCCTCTGGACATTATCCCATGTGGCTTTTCCCTCTGCTGATCCTGCTCTGTGACTTTTTGCTGTAATAAATCTTCAGTGTGGTTATGACCGTGTGCTGAGTCACGGGAGCCCTCTAGTGAATGAATGCACCTGGGGTGGTCTTGAGGGCCTCTGACACTGGAGCATACACACGCGGGGTTGTTCTATCTTCTTAATTAATTGGCCCTTTTGTCATTATGAAATGCCCTTTTATCTCTGGTAATACTCTTCACCTTGAAATCTACTTTGGCTGATATTAGCATAGGCACACCAGCTTGCTTATGCCTAGTGTTTGCGTGCCTTACCAAGCCAAACCCCACAGGAAACCATCTGTTACACTGGTAGGATGGGGTCCTTCTCGTGCATCCCCACAGGTCACTGGGCCTCACAAGGATGACCCAGTCGCATGGGTGCTCTGTGGGTGGTAGGGGAGTGGCACTGGCCCCTCCAGCAGGCTCCCTGCCAGCAGAAGGGCACAGCTGGCTGCAGAGCCACACAGGCATGACCTCAGTGTGCAAAAAGGTTGGTACCCGCAAGAACGCAGGCTTCCGGCACGCCACTCGCAAGGCTGCCGGGAAGCCCTGAGCTCTGATCCCAGTGGTCCTGGGCATCGGGCTGAAGGCAGGCCATGCTGAGCTGTGCACAAGGCACCTCTCGCAAACAACCTGGCTCAGGAAATAACCCAGGAAATTAGATTACCTGTGTGCTTAAATTGCTCTATTGTGGGCAGAAAGGAACTCTTACCGAGTCTCTAAATGTGCTGACCAAATCGCTGAACTGTACGTTCTCTTTGCTGATGGCCACTTTGCTTCCCAATACTGCCAAGGCCAACAGTGACGGGTACAGAGGTACAGATGCAGATAAATAAGCGAGGATCAATATGTTAACTGGAAACCTCATCTCAGCTGAGAGCAATGACAATGTGCATTTGACGATAAATCACAAATGTCTTTACCTGCTTGATAAGCGGCCCATCAAGCCACTTCAGGACGCACTGGAATGCTGTCGATTCCTTCGGAAGCTGGCGCCCCCTCTGGGGGTGGGGAGGGACAAGCACATTTTGGGTAAATACCCCGTGCCAATCCTTCATGCTGCAGAACTGAGGGTCACTTGGGCCTCCAGGATTACCTGCACCATTCGTGTTCAAATAAAAAAAAGACGTTGTAAGGGCCACAGCGATCTGAGCAATTCTGAAAGCTTCCTATCTCCCACCAAATCCCTGAGGAAGTTCCATATCCAAACCCCCACCCCGCCACAACCCCACCTCCTAACACCAGCACAGAAGATGGCTTTGGGGCTGACGTCCGTACTGCCTTCCCCAGGTAAATATGCCATCTCGCTCTAGGTACCCTCTCTGCCCCTCCTCTCCTGGCCACCTGGAGCACCATCATCCTGGACTCAGTGACTGATGTAGGGATGCACATGTGCAGGTCCACCCTGTACAGTTGTGCAGATCGAGGGGTGCATGAGCGCACGGGCCTTGGGGGGTGAGTGGCAGCTGAACCCAGCCAGAGCGTGGGGCTATCTTGGAGGCAGCCCTGGGGGCGTGACCCAATCAGAGCCAATGACATGCAATCCCAGGGCTTCTGCTAGGTCTGTTGACAGGAAAATACTCTTTTTTGTAGCCCTGGGAGCAGAGAGGTCCTCAGCCTGAAGTTGCCAGGGCCAGTGGCAAGAACTACTATGAGACACACACACACACACACACACACACACACACACACACACACACACACACACACACACACACACACACACACACACACACACACACAAAAGGAGGCAGAGCAAAAGCAAGAGGGTCTGGACGTTACCATTGGAGCCCTTTAGGGGACTCTAAGCCAGTCACCCCAGGAAAGTCTAGCTACAGGAATGAAGTCTCTTTATGCTCAAGTCAGTTTGGGACAGATTTTGAGAGCTCCCAGCTCCTGACTGGCGTGGCTCGTTAAGGATGTTACCTCCCTTCAGCCGGACAGGGATCAGAAAACCTTCTCAAGACTTCTTTTCAGCTGACACAGAATGTTAAGATGTTGGCCTTTATAAGCAGCTCAACTTTGCACACCAAAACGGCAAGCAAGGAGCAGAAACAGTGAGTTTGGATCCTGTTGGAGGCCCACGAAATCAAAGGCATCATTTGCCTTTTCCCTACATTGACATCAGCACTGATGCGGTAAAAGTCATGGTGGGTAAAACTGCCAGCACCTTAGCACGCATCACAGCCAAGGCACCAAGGGGTCATTGTGCTCCTCACCACTTGCAGTGAAAGATTCATTAGTTTCACTTATGAACGCCATTGGTGAAAACTATTCTATTGCATGTCAACCCTTGAGCATACGTGTTTTTAATTCTGTGGGATGAAGTGGGAAGTGTGCGTAAAGCACTTTTTTTTTTTTTAATTATATTGTGCTTTAGGTGAAAGATTACAACTCAAGCTAATTTCTCATTCAAAAATTTATATACATATTGTTTTGCGACACTGGTTGCAATCCCCAATGTGACAACACGCTCCCCCTTTCCACCCCGGGTTCCTTGTGTCCATTCGTCCAGCTCCTGTCCCTTCCTGCCTTCTCGTCTTGCTTTTGGACAGCAGTTGCCTTTTTGGTCTTCTACGTTTGACTGAATTAAGAAGCACTCTCTTCACTTGTGCTATTGTCTGTTTTACACACCTGTCTATTCTTTGTCTGAAAAGTGGGCTTCAGGAGTGGTTTCAGTTCTGAGTTAGCAGAATGTCTGGGGGCCACAGTCTCAGGTTTTCCCCCAGTCTCTGTCAGACCAGTAAGTCTGGTCTTTTTCAAGAATTTGAATTCTGTTCTACATTCTTCTCCCGCTCTGTTCGGGACTCTCTGTTGTGATCCCTGTCAGAGCAGTCAGTGGTGGTAGCCGGGTACCATCTAGTTCTTCTGGGCTCAGACTGGTGAAGGCTCTGGTTTACGTGGTCCAGGAGTCCTGGTGGCACAGTGGTTAAGAGCTACGGCTTCTAACCAAAAGGTCGGCAGTTCGAATCAACCACCCACTCCTCGGAAACTGTATGGAGCAGTTCTGCTCTGTCCTCTAGGGCCACTATGATTCAGAACTGACTCAACAGCAGTGGGTTTGTTTGTTTTGGTTTTAATCCTTTGGGCTAATGCTTTCCTTGTGTCTTTGGTTTTCTTCATTCTCCTTTGCTCTGGACAGGATGGGACCAACAGAGGGCCACTCACAAGCGTTAAGACCCCAGTCGCTACTCGCCCAAGTCAGATGCAGAGCATTTTCTGCATCAAGCACTTAGGCTGCAAACCAAAGTAGGATGGTCATCTCGGAGGGGGGGGAAGCGCTGGTGTGATTGTTTGGGTTGTGAGCTGAACTAGCTGCTTTTTTCAAGGAACACTTTCTTCACTTAAAAGAATGACTAGGAGACAAATTATGGTTATTCAGACTTGGGTAGTTGGCAGGCATTTTCTCAAACATAGACAAAGTGAGCCTGTCACATCAAGGAAAACAATTGTAATAAAAGCTTGCAATCGAACATGAGAATTGGGAAAATGTATATCCTGCAACACGAGCTTGACAGCCTCCTATCTCCTAAAAGACTTTTCTAATGAAATGATAACAAAGGTGATTTTTTGAAATTGTATGATTCAATGTGTCAGTATTTGGGAGATTTGCATAACTTAGTGAACTAAGATTTTCCAAACGAACAGCACATAATGATATAAAATCATGCATGGGTCACAGATCCACCCAAGGTGCAAGACAGACCAAAGGGCTGTAACATAACAAAGTATGAAAGCTCATTCACACAGTTTCAGATTCCACACTACGACAAACCTTATAAGACACCACAGCTTGTGGAGTTTTGGTGTAGTGTCAAAGAGTATCCACAATTCTCTAACCTACTCCTTAACTGAGGGAGGCTGGATTTTCTTCATGTAACCAAAAACCAAACCTGCTGCTGTCGAGTCAATGCCAACTCACGGCAACCGCATACAGAACTGAGTAGAACTGAGGTTACAGAGTAAGAACGGAGCTCCGTAGGGTTTTCTTCGCCATTATCTTTACAGAAGATCGCCAGGCCTTCCTTCCACAGCATGGCAGGGTGGGTTCAAACCACCAGCCTTTCAGTCAATAGCCAAGCACAAACCATTTGCCCACCTAGGGACCTACTTTCTTCATATACTTCCACCAAAACAACGTATCACAACAGATGGAACGCAGAACCTGATATGAGAATCCAAAGGTCTTTCATTAAGCTAGACATTAAAGAGACTTGCAAAAATGCAAAACAATGCCTCTTGGTTGTTTTTTTTTGGAGGGGGGGCTTGGGGAAATACAGTTGGTTTTCATAAGAAATGCATTATTTATGTTAACATGTAATGGGTTTGTTATTTTTAAATAATAATATTTTAAACATTTCTCTTTTAATATCAAATACAGTAAATGTCTAGATATAATCACATAACCAAAAGTTCCCCACGGTCCTCAATAGTTTGAAAAGTATAAAGAGGTCCTACAACCAAAAAGTTTGAGAGCAGCTGTTCTAATCAGACCCAAAAGTGCGAGGGCTTCGGGAAGCCGGGTCCTGCCTGCCCTACAAGCTCACAACAGCTGTATGTGGGGATGGAGGGGCCTGGGGGGCACAGATGTGATTGTCCTGCCTGAGATGCTCCCCTATACACGCAGGGTCTCAGCTCGGGGTCCTGCCCCACCTGGAATTTCACTCCCCTGACCCCTACCCCCTGCAGGTGGGCACACTCCTCAGCCTTCCAAGTCCAGATTGTGACTGTGTGTGCACGCATGCACATTGTTTGTATTTTGTTCTTTGTGGGTTATCTATGTCTGCTTAGTCTCCCCTGCATTGCGGAACTGCCCTCCCCCAATTCCATGCGGGGAGGGGCTGCTCCCCTAGCCTGGCCAAAGGGCTTCAATGATCGGCTCAGAGATGAGCACATGGTCCACACCGTGCCAATCAAAGTCTACCCTGGGACTCGGGCCACAGTTTGGTCAGGAGAGGTCGTCCCTCCTCCAATGATGGCCTGGAGACTCAAGGACCACCTGGCCACCACAGGGAAAGCCAGCCCAGGAGAGGTCTACAGAGCTGGGAGGTGGGAGACGGACAGGTCCTGCCACCTCCTCTAGGGAGGGACAGCCTGACAGAAGCCAGCTCCCCACCACCACCAGAGTTTAGTTACGAGGACCAAGAAAGGCCCCAAGAGGCTTTTTATTTTTTTTAGGTTAGGTTTTGTGGTCAGCTGGATAATGGCCTCCAAAAATGTCTTCATCCTAATCCCTGGAACCTGTAAAGATATTGCCTTACATGGTAAAAGGGACTTTGCAGATGTGATTAAGGTTACAGACTGTGAGACGGGGAGATGATTCTGGACGATCCCAGGTGGGCCTGATGCACTCACAAGGGTCCCCAGGAGAGGGCCGCTGGAAGGGTCGGAGTCAGAGAGACAGTCACATAAAGACGCAGCAGAGAGAGACTGGAAGATGCTGCACTCTGGCTCTGAAGATGGAGGAAGGTGCCATAAGCCAAGGAACGAGGTGCTAGAAGCTGGAAAAGGCAAAGAAAGAGATTCTCCCTCGAGCCTCCAGAAAGAACCAGCTCTGCCCACACCTTGACTTCAACCCACTCAGACTGAGTGTAGACTTCTGCCTCCAGAACCGTTAAGAGAATACATTTGTGGTGATGTGTTACAGCAGCCTCACGAAGACCCACCCAGGCTCCCAGGACCTGCAGGCAGAAAGGCCAACAATACCCAGCTCGAGGGCCTCTCCTCCAGGGGGACGTCGCGGAGGCTCAGGGGTTCAGCCTCAAGCTCACATGGCACCAGTGCGTCCCTCAGTCACAACACTGTCATCTGTCTTGTACTACCTGCTCACTGGCCAGCTCCTTACAGAGGGAGCCTTATTCCTCCCTGGGTCCTTGGCACCTGGCTCAACATCAGAACTCAACAAATATTCACAAAATCAAACTGACCAATTTTTTTTTTCAGATATATGGTGTTTTCCTGTTGACCTGCTGTAAAACTGGGAAATTTATTCATATGAACTAAAGGCCATCAAGGACTGAGAGGTGTTTCGACACAGGAAGTCTTTTTCCAAACATGG